ATGTGTGGTAGGATGGGAATTATAACTGTATTCCTAAATATGTATACATGAAGTTTGTATACCTTAAGTAAAACTTTAAAAAAATTTGAAAGATTTATTTATGTGAAAGAGTTACAGAGAGAGAGAGACAGGGAGAGATACATCTTCCATCTGCTGGTTCATTCCCCATGGCCAGGACTGAGCCAGATCAAAGCTAGGAGCCAGGAGCTCCCTCTGGGTCTTCCACGTGGGTGCAGGGTCCCAAGGACTTGGGCCATCTTCTACTGCTTTCCCAGGTGCATTGGCAGGGAGCTGGATTGGAAGTGGAGGAGCTGGGACTTGAACTGGAGCTCATATGGGATTTCAGCACTAAGAGGCAGCTTAACCCATTGAGCCACAACACCAGCCCCCTAAATCATCTTCAGAAATAATTTAGGTAAAGGCCAGCATCAATCAAGAGGGGAATTGATTTTTACTTAGACCACCTAACATTAGTGAGAAGCAAACTGTTAGAATAAAGGATTTAGGTCTTTTGTGGAGAGGGAAACAATGATATAACACAAAGTCATTGAGGAAACAGACTCACAAAGGACATGAAATAAGAATCAAAAGCCAGCTTTTACTTTAACAGCTGTACAACACAAGTAAAAGGTAAAAATACAAATGCAAAGGCGTATATAACTCAACTCTTGTGTGCCATTAATGAAAAATAAGATAGTAGGTATTTCTCATAATCAGGTTGTTTTCACTTTTTAATAGTCTAAGTTTTCTGCCAAATGCAAGTTGTTTTATTATTGTATGTCTATCTTGGGAAATGGTGTTCAAAGACCTTAATATGCAGTATTTACTTTAATATACAGTTTTTTATACTTTTAAATTAAATTATATATATTAAATTATGCATTTATTATATATTAAATTAAATTATATATTATATAAATTAAATTATATAATAAAAATATATTATATATAAATTAAATATACTTTTAATATACAAAGACCTTAATATACAGTATTTACTTACCTTACAGTTATGAAGACAGTCATGTAAATTGCTTTTGTCCATTCATTCAATCACTCACTCAACATTTATACCATCCTATAATGGTTATTAATAAGAGGATGCACATTTGGGTCACATGCACATACATTAAGGAGCTTACATTCTATTAAGGGATAAAAAAGCTGTGAAATACATTCAATAAGAAGTAAAAAGAGATTAGAAATGTGCAAATGCAGTGAAGGAAGAGTTGAAAAGAGATGATTTTCACCTGGAGGTATTGAAGAAGGGGTGTGAAGAGACTGACATTTGAGCTGCATTATCAGGGATATGTGGGATTTGATCTTTAGAATTTGAAGGAAATTCCAGGAGCAGAAAGGAGCAAAGAAAGAAAATTGTAACTTTTCTACCCAGCAGCTCTGTCTGTATATGAAAAATACTGGCAAATGAAGGAAGAAGTGGTAACAGAAATCTGAATCTATCACTTTCTTTTACTAAGACAACAATTACTTACAAAATAAACAAATTTCAAAAAGAAGTATGGAGTCTGAAATGCCATGTGACTCTTACCAATGCCAATGCTGAAATGTGGTATAAAGGAAAGAATACCGTCTTAGGAGCCTGACAACTCTGATTTGTATCTCCATTCTGCTTGTCAATAGTGGGTGACCTAGGCATACCACTCAACCATCTGAAATTCAGTTTTTTCATCTGTAAAGTGTATTAAAATTGCTTCCAGAGTCACTGTGAGGCTAGAGACAATGCATATAATATGCCTATGACATACCTGGTGTTTAGGAGGTAGTAGCTATTGATGTAATGCAGTGTTAAATAGGATTATTTTGATAGCAAGTAAAACATACCAGCTCAAGCTGACTTAAGCTCAAGAGAGCTTCTGAGCTATTTCACTGAAAAGTCCATGGCTAGAGCTCTGGCAGATTGGGAAGCAGAGCCATCTCAGCACATTTCCTCCCTCTCCTTCTTGAACATTCTCTGTTATTTTCCTCTGGAAAGTACTTGGCTCCATTCTCATTCATGTTCTTTCATGTGGTGAAAAAAGGCCATTGGCAGCTCTAATATTATAATCTTCTAGCTGAGCAACTTGGGCAGAAAAAGATCCCTCTTTGCCTACAGTTAAAGTAAGATTCCAGGGGATGCTGCTCATTGGCCTAACTTGAATTATGAGACCACCTTGGGACCAGTCACTGCAACCAGATTGCTGGGGTAACCTCAATGACCAGATCCTGGGTCACAGAATCCTGTGGAGGCAGAGGTAGAGGTCAGCCCTCCAAAATGCACGGACTACGAATGTGAAAGGAAGGCATATCAAAGATTTAGGAAGATAAAGACATGTCTACTGCAGGCAGTGATTCAGCTATTACTGAATTTACAAGTCAATCATTAGCCTGCTATTTTTACCATGGAATTTAATATGTAGCACTAAATTCTAATGTAGAATTTAGAATGTAGTACTTTAAATGTTTACAGATGCAACTAACATGAAATCTGGCTTAAATAATGGAGAAACTTATTACTTTAATAATATTAATAGTAAATCTTCAGGTAGAAGAGGCTCCAAAATTGTTAGTCATCGACTTAAAGGTGTCATGAAGGGCTTGAGTGCTTCCATTTCTCTCCTGTGCCATTTTGGTGAGGTCTTACTCTCTAAGTGACAGGGTGGCTGTAGCAGTTTTATGCCTCACAGCCAGACCACAGAAAGTGCAGAAACAGAAGAAAAACTACCACTTCCTGTGGATCTCTGCTAGGTGCAAGGACACATCTCCTAGAACAGCTCTCACACCGTTAGCCAGAATTGGGCTACACACCCATTTCTAAACCAATCCCTGACCTGGATTAGGATAATCATTAAAAATGGAGTAATAATTGGGAAAGCAACCCAATGTTTACCATACTAGGTATGGTAAACATCTTCCTAGGTATGGATTATGTAAACTGGATACAAGCAACAAGTTTCAGAAATGTGGTTCCATGAGCATAACAAATACAATGAAAGAACAATTCTCAGAGACAAAGCTTCTAATATTATTCTGTGCAGTGAAAATACTTTGAATGCAAAAAAAGATTCAAATAGTTTCTACCCACCTAAGTACAATAATGTCATGCATAACAGAATGTATAATTTATGCATTTAAGTGTTGATGAGACTGTCTATCCTACACCCCCTGAGTCAACAAATTCTGCTTCTTACTGGAAGGAAAAACTAATATCATGTAGTGACTATTCACATTGCATGTTAACTGGTATCCGTATGTGATACAGCAGTCTCTTAACTATTTCTGCATTTAGAAAAATACAACTTGCTCAAAATTTATAGCAGACATCTTAAAATGGTACGGTAGCAGCCAACGTGGACTTGGGATAGGTGGTAAATGGAACCACTACTCCATTTTCTGTAGGGAAGCCAGACCTAATCTAAGAATGAATTGGGTAGGAAGCACACGACTCCATTTATCCTGTCTGAAAATTAGGATTAGCGGACTTCCCACTAACTCTCCTGACGACCACTTCTAATTTCCCCTGTGAATCTGCCTGCCTCAGATGGCTCAGTGCTATTTATCTCCATCTGCATTTGTACCACATTTCTGAATTCATGAATTACAATTACTTTATTTGACTGGAAAGAGATTCTATAGAGTTAAATTCATAAAGCCACCTGAGGTCTCTTTCTTTTTCTTAGAGAAGTATACTTTTAAGTTCAAAAAATATTTTTCTTATTATAGCTAGGGTTGGGGGACAACCAAATATATATTTGGTACACACAGTTATGCAATTACCTGCCTCCCTGATTTCTTCCTGTAGCATATAGCAATGTATGTGCTGAAATTCAACGTGAGTTTAATTTGTTCCATACTTGCATGCCTTAAATCCTTGAAATGCAAATATTTTTATACAAGAGCATTATAGATTCAATACATGTGGAAATAATCTTCATTTCATTTTAATAAGCACTTATTGAATTTTTGACTATATTCTGAGAACTGGAGACATGACACTAAGGACTGTTTCTGGCACTTCAAAATCTTTCTAATGCAGATGCAGAAAAGTGAGACAGTTATGGAAGAGCACCATCTCTAAGATGGCAGCAAGAAGCATGGCATGACAGCTACAGAGAAAGGGCACCATCCGGGAACCAAAGCTGGGGGTGGCTACACCTGGGCACAGCACCTGTCTTTGTTTCCTATGGCTACCATAACAAAGTTCCAAAAACTGAGTGGCTTAAAATAATAGAGATTTCTTCTCCCACAGTTTTGGAAATTTGAAGTCTGAAGTGAGGAGGTTAGCAGGGCCATTGTCCACTGAAGGCTCCAGGAAGCAATCCTTCCTTGCCTTCCTCTTTTCTGATGGCTGCTGCCAGTCTGTGATGTACTTTGGCTTGTACTCTGGCTGCAACACTCTGCGCTCTACCTCCGTGGTGACATGCACTCCTTCCCAGTGTGTTTGCCACATCTTCCTCTTCTTGTGAAGACACCAGTCATTGAATGTAGGGCCTATGGTAATTCTGAATTATCTCAATTTGATCAGATCGGAAAATACCCTATGTACACATAGAGTTATATTCATAGGTACTGAGTTAGTTAGGGAATTCAACATACCTTTTGTGAGGATACAATTCAACCCACCACAATAGTACTGTAAAAAGATAAAGTTAGCAAGGTAAAGAAGTGGGTGAATGTGTACATGTGTAAAGATGCAAGATGAGAGGAAGCTTGGATATGTAATGAGCACAAACAGGTCTGGGTTGTGGGAACCCACTAACCTCTATCTGTCACATCCTCCATCTGTCACATTTTTTCCTTCTCCTTTAATTGCAATCACATTTTATGTGTCCTTGATGTGTTCTCTTTGGAGGTTTAGTAGGCCATTGGTTATTGGCTATTGGCATGATTAAAATAAAATAAGAGAGGGGAGGGGAAAAAATCTCTGCTAAAGAATTACCATTGTGTTTCTTAAACCATTTCCTCTGCTAATCATTTATCCTATCCAATACTTGTTCTCACAGAACCTGCCTCCTTAACCCCAGCTAAATGGGCAACCAGCCTTAAGAGTCAGCCCAGAAGAATCCTAACCCAAGGTAAACCAATTAAGTTCTTTGTGGTAAGAATTGTATTTGGGACTCAGAAACTCCTGCGAGTCTACAGCAGCTGTAGAACTGGAGATTATGGAAGGCTGAGGCTGATAGCCATGTTTAGCCTGTGCATGTCAATAACACAGTAGGTAGGGAGTGGAACGAAGTTGAGACATTGAGATGAATGAAGAAGAGATCCCATGGGGTACTGGGCAGGCATAGACATAGGTATTTCCAAGGGGCTTACAATCTTTTGTGAGACCAAGACTCTCCCTTCTCCCCTCCCCAATTTATCTTAAGTTCCATGGAGCAAGTTTTTGCCTCTTGTAAGCAATCCTTGACTCAGACAATCTAGAACTTCTTTATCTATCTATGTCTAGAATTGGCTCTGAGTAGGCTGTGAAGTCCTGAAATCTCCAGCCATCCTCCAGTTATCTTCCTCCTCTTCTGGAATAAACAACCTTCTCAGATGCCACCCATCAGCCTTCTTTTTCACACCACATCCCCTCTCCACCATTGTGTGGAAATGCAAATTCTTCTTGACTTAGCAGCAAGAACTTTTCAGTTGTATACTCATAAGGATCACAATAAGAGAGTTGAATATTTTATATCAGTATGTCAAGTATCATGTATATACTTTTATTTTTCCCAGAAAACAACACTCTTTATTGTTAAAATGAGGAATGACTTAGAGAGCCAAAACAGATGACTCTAGAGTAAATTATCAGCCTAGGTGATACCTTTCTTAAACAAAGCTTACATGATTAAGCACAATCAAAAATGTTACTATACTCAAGCAAATTCACATATCTTTGGCCTTCTAGAAATATGTCATGTCCTACAAGCTTAAATATAAAAGGAAAGATAGTAAACTGGTAAATATCCAGCATTTAAAAGAAAAGTAATTTATAAAGAAATTTGTAAGCAATCATTGAGGCTTCTCACCCAAGACAGGAACATTTTGACAATGTAAAGGACAATTGAGTTGACAGAGTTGGCTCTCTTCTCTCTCAAAACTGCAATAGGGTGGTTAAAATAAATTATGGTTAAAATCTATCTGACAAAACTACATTTTATGCTGAGGAGTCAGCATGATTAAACTGTCATCCTGCAGAGAAGGGTTCAGGTCCAAATTATCTCTTAATTTGCAACATGTTGTCCACCTTCCAATTCTTTTTTCTTGAATATTCTATATTCTTTGAATTTGCAGGTCTGAAAGCCTGTTATTGACTGATCCCTTGAGAGAGCTCAGCATAGATTAGGTATCTATGAATTAGTATCCAATTCAACATCTCTTTTTCCTGCTTCCTCTATCTCTTCATCTCCTCAATTGAGTTATCAAATAGTTGGATCTGTTCCCAGTTCCTGTGGGGTTAGACGAAAGAAGCAACAAGGGAAAAGAGGTTGGTTGACCTCATAGTGGGTCATTATTTCCGCCTGACATCGAGGGACTAGAAGGATTAAACCAGATAATCCCAAGCATCAATAATTGCTTCAGAAAAACACCTGGGTTGGCTCCTCAATCTCTGCTTGGCCTGGAATCTTAGTTCTGTATTCTAGTGATACTCTTGACTCTGACTCAGTCTACCACCATCCCATGCCCAAGATGCACATGAAAGTAGAGAATCCTCATGAGAACAGTGACAGTGTCTCTCCTGTTCATTTCCTTCTGTATTTCCAAAAAATAGTACATAGAATGCACTCAGGGGATTTACTAGATGTGAGACTGATTTTTTCCACATACTTTTGTGACTATAGTCACTCTCTACTTCTATGAACATTCTTGAACATGGCCATCTTTCTGACTCTCACAGCCTTCTCAACTTGACCATCCCTATAGGTTTCCAGCTCTACCAAATTCCTGATGGTAACTTCTATTTCCTTAGCTGAGCCCTTGCTTTAGTTGTGGCTTCCCTGCATTCCATCTCAGCTAAAAAAGATCCTGACAGATGATTTCTCAAGAGCCTTTGGATTACAAAAGGCTCAGTTCAGAGACAAATTGTGACTTTGGTTTAAGATAAAATTAGATCAGCCTTCAGGCTCAGGGATGGAGAATATGAGCATATGGTTATTCTATTCTATATATTTCCATGCTGTTCTTCCATTCTGAATCGATTAGACTGATGTAGTAACTAAGGACAGAAACCACCATATGCAAAAAAGAATGCAAAAGATTTTAATCCAAGTTCTTTTTTTTGAAAAGTATACATTCTTGGAAAAATTATGAGTTAACATATATTAAAGGTTTACTATATTTAGACAGTATGCTAAATAGTACACTCCCTGTAATTCTCACAGCAGCCTGGTAAATTATGTACTATTAACACTCTAGTTTTTTGTATTTAGAAGCTGAAACTTAGAAATTAAATAAGTTACCCACAGACTAGGCAGCTTTTTTGTACAATTTCAGGAGTGCTTTCCTCAGAGGTAAGTGGCTCTATATTTCCACTAAGTGATGTTGGGCTCTAATTCAGGGAATGTCATTCCTATAGATTCTTTTTTTAAAAGTTATATTTATTTATTTGAAAGAGTTACAGAGAGAAGGAAAGGGAGAGGGAGAGGCCTTCCATCTGCTGGTTCACTCCCCAGATGGCTGCAACAGCCAGAGCTGTACAAATCTGAAGCCAGGAGCCAGGAGCTTGTCCTGGTCTCCCACGTGAGTTCAGGGGCCCAAGGACTTGGGTCATCTTCTACTGCTTTCCCTAGCCATAGCAGAGAGCTGGATCAGAAGTGGAGCAGCTGGGACTTGAACCAGTGCCCATATAGGATGCCAGCACTACAGGCAGCGGCTTTATACCCGCTATGCCACAGCACCGGCTTTCCTATAGATTCTAATGTGAATGTTATTCTGAAGTTGAGCAAGGCAGCCACCCTGTCCACAGCAGGAAGAAGCAAAGTGAGAGCTTGAACCTACGTCTGCTTGACTTCAAAACCCAGGCTCATCACTACTAAGCCACACTGAGATAAACATTTGGCTTTTAGAAATATGATCTGTCCTTTAATCAGGCAATTAGAAGGATAAAATGGGGATATATTATATTACAGTTGCAGGTGTTTGCTATTTTTTTGTCTGCAGCACTTAGCACAAGGGATCCCAGGTCTCTTGGAGCAGAGCCATTTCAGGCTTAATGACACTCAGTGGTGGCAACATGTATTTACCCACCCTGTAGAATAGAGGAAATCAGTTTTTGCAGCCAAAAAAATGTCTGTACGTGAATTGGGGTTTACATTTCTATGAAACATATAAGGATGATACCTTTCCCTAGGGGAGAAATGCATGGCACCATGCATTTTTTCATCATGCATTTTTAAAAAACCAATGTTTATAACAGAAACAAGGAATATAAATGCAGAATAAGCAACAATTTAAGAAGCTTTGGTATATCTACTCAATGAAACAGCATGTTCTCATGTAAAATATATGCATACAGAAAGGTTGTGAGGGAACACACACACACACATAAAATGATAACAGTTGTTCTATTAGGGGAAGTGATTTATTTTGTTGTTTCTACTTTCTGTTGGTCTGTAATGTTACTCTAGTGTTTATAATTTTTAAAAAGTAAGTCACAATAATTATAAAATGTATTTTTCATATGAGAGAAATATAATTTAACTGTAAGCATTTTTTAGCAGCTCAATTTTCCTCTAAAACCAAGAAGAAAATCCAGTTAGAATTTTTATTACATAGACTCATCCCACACTGCAATTTTCGACAATTCAGGCGGTGTAATGGCCAGGTCCTCCAAAGATCACTGCCTTCATAAGCACATCGCAAACCATAAATTATTGTAATTTATGAAATGTAATAGAACAGTGAGATTATATTTGCCTTTTCAAGCATCCATCAGGGAAAATATTGGTAATTAGTTTGTACTCAATTTGTAATTTGATTTTTAAAACCGGTGCTTCATTTAATGTTTATTTTTTGTTATGTTTTGTTAAACTACCACTTTGCAAATAATATATTCTTGAGTCACAACCATCGTGTTCTAAAACAAATTGAATTGCCAAGAAACACACCTCATATTTTAGTCCATTCTGGCTGTTACAACAAAATACCATAAACCGAGTGGCTTATAAGTAACAGAAACTTATGTCATACCTTCAGAGATGCCAAAGTCCAAGATCAAAGCCCTACTGGATTCAGTGGCTACTGAAGACCCATTTACTGGCTCCTAGATGGCATCAGCTCCTTGTGGCCTCACATTGTGAAAAGGACAAGGTAGTTCTCTGGGGTCATTTTTATGACGGCACCAATTCCATTCAAGAGGGCAGGGCCCTTGTGGTCTAATCACCTTGCAGAAAAGCCTCATTTTCTAGTACACTTGCCAAAGAGTTAGGATTTCAACATCTGCATTTTGAAGGGACATAACACTCAAACCACAGCACCTTATAACAGTGTGAATTGTTTTTCAGACTCACAATGGAAAACAAATTTTATCTCTTATTTTGTGATGATTGGCTGAGCATTTTTTTTTTTTTTTGGTATGTAGGGGTTTTTAAAAATTCCAAGACATAAAAATAGTGAGTTCAGGGCAAAATGGATTGGCCCTATAAGCTGCATGTCAATTTATCCTTTCTTTTTGGTTGCTTTCCATGCAAAGAAGTTTTACAGGGAATAACAAGAGTCTACTGAGTAAAATGTCTTCTCTTCACTTCAAAGCCTCAGCTGGAGGTGACAGAATGCAGAAAATGAAATTTGTATCAGGGGATACAACTGTGTCTGGAATACCAGTGTCATTTTAGGGACTACCATTATTGCCCCTTCATTTGCATGGCCCTAAACTTGGATGGAGTGCAGATACAGGGGTGATTTAGGACCTGAAAGCAGTGGCTTGGGTTGAGAACAGGCTCCCTAGCTTTTCAATTCTATAACATGGGGTATGTTGCTCAGTTCTGCATCTCTATATCAGAGGTTTTTTTCTCAAAGTAAATAAAAGTGTGAAAGTATTTTGTAAAGCACTATCTCTTCCTTACTTGTACAATATTTTTGTACATAATAG